CCCTGCCTGCCCGCTCTGTGACCTGGCAGGGGTAATGGAGAGACCGCTGCCATGGAGCTGCCCCTCTGCAGATCGGACACTCTGGGGCGGAGAGCATGGATTGGCGTCTGTTGCTGCGACCTAGGACCAGAAGCTGGGGAGACCCCACCGTGTCTGTTCTGTGGTGCAAAGCTGCTGCCGTCTCCACGCACCTGCCTGATCAGTCTGGAGGCCTGCTGCGGTGCAGCTCCCGATTTCAGTGTCCACTGCGGGCGTGCGGTGCCCCAGGCATCTCTCCCTCAACCTCGCCCCGTGTGTGTACGCTTCCCCCAGGTACCTTCTGATCGTGCCGAGAGGACCAGCCCACCTCTCCCCCGCTTTGGGTGTCTCCAGTTGTTTGTCTGATGATTCTCTGAGACTCTCCTCTGGTGAACCCTGCCCACAGCCTTTGATCCTCTCCTCCAGAGCGTTGAGCGCAGGCGGCTTCTGGGCCCCCATCTTGACCCAGACTCTCCAGAACCACGATGTTTTTCTATTTTATTTCAAGATTTTCCTTATTTCTTCTGTTTGGGTTTTATTATTTATTTTTTTACTCCTGTATGTCAACTTCTAGAAATGTAATGCTCTATATTATTGTTGTAAATATTATGCCCTCTTTAAAAACAATTGGATTTCCTACAATTTACAATGGCATTAATGGATATAATTAATCTTTATTGATTTATCAACAATCTCAATACCTTTCCCCTTTTGTTTGACTTCCTTGGACTTTATGAATATGTAATTATACACAAATAATTGGCTGTATATTATGGATGCACCAAAATTTATTTAAGCAATTTTCTGATGATGTAATTTATATAGAACTGAACTTTTCATTATTATCAAGAATCCTGCATAGAATCAAAGGGTTAAAGATATTCACATTTAAAATGTTGTTAGTGATTGCCAAGAAAGATTTAGTAATTGCTTTCACCTGCAGAGTGAGGGATTGCCTTTCTCTAAACTTTTGCCAACATAGCACTAGAAGAAACCAATGTTTGAAGAGCAGAAGGCTGCTTTTTTATTACATAAGCAAAACAAAGAAAATTAAAACTGTTATTAACCAGAAATAACCATTGTCAACAATTTAATGAATATCTGATATAGTTTGGATAGGGGCCCCTTTAAATCTCATGTTGAAATTTGATTCCCAGTGTTGGAGGTGGGGCCTAGTGGGAGGTGTTCGGGTCATGGGAGGTGGATTCCTCATGAATGGCTGGTGCCATCCTCACAGTAATGAGTGAGTTCTCACTCTGTTAGATCCCACCAGAAGTGATTGTTGCAAAGAGCCTGGTACCTCTCTCCCCTCTTTCTTTTGCTCCTCCTCTTACTGTGACACACTGGGCTGTCCTTCACCTTCCACCAGGAGTAGAAGCACTTGGGGCCCCCACCAGAAGCAGATGGGTTACAACGCTTTTTGTGCAGTTGGCCAAACTACGAGCCAAATAAACCTCTTTTCTTCATTAATTACCCAGCCTCAGATATTCCTTTATAGCAACACAAATGGACTAAGGCAATATCTAGAGCTACATTTATAGCCATGTCTATATATTTATTCATTTCCTTTTTATTTCTTTTTATAAAAATGGATCAATTCTGGCCAGGCATGGTGGCTCATGCCTATAACCCAGTGCTTTAGGAGACTAAAGCAGGAGGATAGCTTGAGCTCAGGAATTTAAGACCAGCCTGGGCAGCATAGCAAGACCCCTTCTTAAAAATTTTTTAAAAAAATATATTAGCTGGGTGTGGTGCTGTGTGCCTTAGTTGTGGCTATTCAGGAGGCTGAGGCAGGAGGATCACTTGATCCTAGGACTTTGAGGTTGCAGCGAGCTATGATTGTACCACTGCACTCCAGTCTGGGTGACAGAGCAAGACTCTATCTCTAAAAAAATAAAATAAAATAAAATAAAATAAAATAAAACAAAATAAATGGGTCAATTTGTAGAAACTGTTTCAGAATGCACCTATAAAGAATTAATTGACAATAGAACCACAAATATTTTAGTTTGTCCTTATTGTATTATTCTAAAGTTATCATTATTATTGATTGAATAGTATTTCTTTATTTGGCTATACAGGAGGACAAAAAGAATTAAAAGTGGAATCATACAGCAAGAATATCTTGGTGCTTAAATAGAGGAGGTTTCAAGAAAGGGAAAATCATGGCAGCGAATGAAGTAGTTGGTGGAGAACTTATGCTGTGTATTCAAATTGCCTGTTTCCTCTTCCTGCTGGGTATGAAATCACCAGCCAGGTGATCTGTCCTTGACATAAGTCCTTTTTCTATAAAATGAGGTATTAGTGGTATCTACTTTATATCGTTGTTTTGAGTATTAGTTGAGGTAATGCATGTAAAAACCTTAGCACAATGTCTGGCAACTAGTAAACATTCAAAATGTTAGTTGTTAATATCATTACCTGGCAAACCTCTGCCATCAGGTAGATGCTCAATAAACGTTTGCTGCATGAGCTAAAGTTAGGAAGCATGTCACAAAAAGGGAAGAAAGAAGAGATGTAACTCGGAGGGACACTTTAAGACCCTGTGCTAACACAGACTATGGGTAAAGCAATTGCTGCTGGAGGAGGGGATTTTGAAATCATGTCATCTTTATGAACCCTGCCCATATTCTGGGCTTTTCAGTTGAGCTTCCCAGAGTCACCTGGCAATGGTAGAATCCTTAATCCCATTAAAAAGGTTAGGAAGCTTCCACTCATTAGTTTGTTCTAGTTTCTAGGCTATTTTAATTTTATCTTAAAACCAACTTCTTTATAAACATTAGTGACCAAATCTAAGCTTCTCACGTGGCTTTCCCTTTGGTAAACCATGAGTGAGGAGAAGTGCTGATGTAAGGAGATATTTAAAGGGTAAGAAAGTGTCTTTTATTTTCAAAGGCCCCATTAAAAATCACTATTTTTTAATTTCTAGACTATAGGTTTTGTAGGTGAGAATTCAAAGCTAGCAGTCAGGTAGAGCATCACATGAGAATAACTCACTTTCCAGGGAGATCAGAATTTGCACTTTTGTTACAGTTGAGGTGTGGGGTGAGGACTCACCTCTCCCTCCACTCACACCCACTGATTTACACAGGGCTAAGCATTACCACAAAGAAAATGAAAGCCTTGAACTTTGTCCATTCCTGGGTTCAGACTAGAGAAAATGAAAAAGCAATGGTAAAAAATTACAAGTGCCTGAGAGAAAATTTACTGTAAGACACAAAAGAGCCTGGCAAGGTGATTCCAAATTAGCAGCAGGGTTAGAAGGGAGTAGAGCTTCCAAGTGCAGCCTGGCAGCTGGTACCCTAAACCTGTCTACATCCAGCTGTTCTGGGTGCATGCATTTACCATGGGAAGAAAAATGGCAGAGTGTATCACACAGAGGACAAGGGCATTGTCCTTCCCTCTCTTCAAAAGACTTTAAAACTTCAGCATCTCAGTAGCACAGCGATGCTTTTTGGTGAAACTCAGCTTCCATGGGGGTGGAATTTAAGGTTAGAAGAGGCCAGGGTGACCCTATAGTGTATCTCCAGAAATGGTGGCAACAATAGGTATCAGCCAAGATTAGTTTTTTAGATGCATGTGAGACATTCCCTGCGGACTCCTAGAAATATTAGTTAGAGGAAGATGTGCTGCTTTGCAAGGGACTGGTATCCCTACACGAACCAATTGAAGGCCTAGAGTTGGCAAGATTCAGAGATTAAGGTTAATATGATCTCATTTATTCGTAGGGCTTGTGAGGTTCAGAAACATTTGGGAAGATTAGGATTTCAGAAAGGAGGCTAAATCACTGAAAATTGTTGGCATCTTTTTCACTTTTGTCATATTCAAGATTTGAGACACTGAGGCAATATTTTTTAAATAGTGATAACTAGGAAAACATTAAGCCAGATATTTACACAAAGAAATATTAAACAACAATGAAAACAAATGAACTATAGCAACATGCAATAATATGGATGAATTTTTGAAATACAACATTAAGTGAAAAATTTTAAAAAATTACCTACAACCATATAGCCTTTAACTTATAAGGTTAAAACAACTAATATAAAAATATATATTTAAAGGAAACATAGATGCATTAGTATGATGTAAAGGGGAGAGCAAGAGGACAATGAACAGGAGGTTTAGGCTGATGTTTACATCAAGTGGAGTGAGGCAGAGGAATAGGATGGGAGAAGCCACATCGATGGAGTTGGTTATTGTTTTGGGATTAATGAGTGCTTGTGATAATAAAAACTAAGTGGGAATGGATCATGCATGGAAAATGATGAGACAATGTCACAGGGCAAAGATAACAATTAATGCGATTCTTTGCACATAAGGTCTGCAGTGGGGATGGAGGAGTCACACATTCAACCAGATTGCAGAGACTTCAATGAAACACCGAGGTAATTTTTCATAATAACTAATGTTTTTTTGGTTGGGAATGTCTCCTACAAGTACAAAAATGCACTTCGGACAGAGTCATCTTAAAATCTTTTTCTATAATTTGTTTTGGTTGTTTTTAATTTGATAGCAAGAATACAGCATACACAACGAAACATCACCAATGCCATTATCAGCTACATGAGAAAGGAAACAAAATATTTAGAGCAATGTTTATACAGAGATAGCATATTAAAAGCTTTTGATCACACTTTGATTAAATGGTCATGGCTGTGCCATTGTGGTCCCAGATAGAACATTTCTCTCTCCTTCTCTATTCCACAGCCCTAGGAGCTGAGGGCCCTTCTGTCCTGCCATGTGTCTCCACTGAGAAAAGAATGCAGCACTTGCTCAGAGACTGCCCACTCTGTTCCCAGAGAACACTGAGACTTAGGCACGGAGGAGATTGGCAGACCTTTGCACAGCCTCCTGTCGCCGGCAGCCCAGACTCCTGGGAGGCAGAGTCTGGAGAGAGGGAGAAAGTGTAGCTGGAGAGAACAGGACAATGGCACAGGCTGCTCTCAGGGGTCTCTGCAAGCACTCTGGGTAAGGGTCTAGTGGTCCAAGGCCAATGGTACACATAGGACGTTCTCATAGTTTTCTGTGTCATCTTCATGGGCCTGCCCTGTGGACTCATCTTGGGGTGCCTTCTTCAATTCTGAATAAAAGACTGCAAGTTCCTAGAGAAAAAACCACAATGGTAAGTACCTAAATACAGATGAGGAAGGGCAGAGAAGAAAGAAAGCCAGGCAGTGTGACTCACCTTATCCTCCCGATGCATTCTTGGTGAATTCGCTGTTGGATGGGGGCAGCAAAGAAAAGCATTAGACTGTGGGCAATGTATGCCAACTCACAACCTCCTTGCAATGCACTCCGAGCCATTCTTCACCTCGCTACTCATCTCCTGACTGTTTCCTCTGATGAATTCTTCCAAGCCCTCACAGAAAAAGTACCCCTCCACACACAACACACGAATAAAGCCTTTTCCCTTCCACCAAATGCTCGAATGACTTTCATGATGATTTCCATCTTGCTCCTCTGCTCATCGCAACCCAGCAGAGAAGGGGCCCCTCGACCTGTTGTGGGCCTCTGTGGAGATCCTCTCAGAGAATGTGGCAGATATGACTCACTTTGCGTGAGGAAATTGGAAAAGGCCAGAGAGGACATAAGGAGGAGGTTGGAGGAGGTGCCAGAGTGCAGAGAGAGGCAAAGGTCAAGCTTTGGAGTGGAGAATCAATGTAGGCAGTTAATCTAGGCAATGAGTGAATGTGCGTCTCAAATGGATTATGTTGGAAACAGATTGTTGGAAGATTGGAGAAGAACAAGACTAGAAACAAAGAGACCAAAGAATTACAATTGTCTGCACATTAGGTTATTTATTTCTTCAATCAAAAAATATTTCAAAGGGCCTAGAGTTTTCTAAGCATTGAGCTAGATGCTATGGGTACATTAGCAAAAAATTACAGTGTCTGCCCTCAAAGAGTTTATGGGGCAACAGTGGCAGCATGGCAGCTTGGAAAGATAAGAGGGAATGGATCGATTATATGATTGGCAATATGGGAGGAGCAGGTAATGCCTTCGATGTTGGACTCGTATTTAGATGACTATGATCAAAGACCTCTTGCTGGATCTGATAACCCACTGCCACCTCACCTCTACTTGTCTAAAAAGTATCTCACCTGAATTTTCTGTTGTATGCGGTAAGCTCCAGATCTGGGAATAAACTATGGTGCTATATACAGGATTTACTACTGTGAGAGAAGAAAAGATATTGTAGTTGGCTGTAGTCAAGAGCTCACATTCCAGACTCTCCAAATTCGTAACCACCCTCTATCCCCAATATAATTCCAGGAATGCCATTTTTAGTGGCAAGGCCATGGGATGCTGCTCAACCCCTGCCCCCTCCCTGGCTCATCCCTGGAGCCCTCTGCCCACTGGGGAGTCCTCACCACTGCTGTACACTGGTTGCAGCTCCAGTAGGTCTAGTGGCTCATGGTGGGCGGGCTCTTGGGGGTCTCTACCGGAGGGACTGGATGAGGAAGGCATCTGGCACTCACTGGGACTATAACTGTGCCAGAGGGGAAGAGACAATGAATAAGAAATATTTGTGGATTACACAGAGTCTTAAGGAAATCACTACCCAAGAAGGCACAGAGCCCAGCATGATTCATGTAAAAATATTGTGGCTGCTTCTGCATGGCTCCTTTGAGAAAATACCAAAAGGAGTGTGGCACAATAGGAAGCCTAGGGCAGTATTATAGGGCAGGCCAGCGAGGCAAGGTCAGAGGGCAAAAGCCACACAGTCTCAAGGCCCCTTTGATAGAATACAAACTCCTATTGACTAATGTTTAAAAGTATTTTCATTGCTTCTCAGCCTTTTGGATAAGATCAAATGTAAAATTATTTTCAAAGATATAAGTACTTAAACATTGATAAACAAAGACTTCTGCATTCTCACAGAACTTGAACTTTATCCTTTTTAAAAAGATTCCTTTCAATTTTCTACATCATATTACAATAATCTACCCTTCCTGTAAGATACCATGAAGGTTCTTCAGGAAAAGTGTTGGGTTTTTTCCCCAATTTTATTTCCTTCTGCAATTAATATTGTGAATTCAACATTGTCGGCATTCAGTAATCGTTTCCTAAATGTATGAGTGGAGGAATGAGGAGGAAGGGAATGAATAAGCTGTAGCCCTGTGAAAGATGATGTCATTAAGATGTCAGTGGTCAATTCTCTACCGGAACACATTTAAGGAAGCAGATAAATTAACATGGATAACAAATAACATGCACTCTTGTATAAATAGGTATAAGTGAGTATCATTCACAACTACAAGTGGAAGTGGCCTTCTCATCACATTTTTGGATTTAGTAAGAATGTGAAAATGTAAATAGGAAGTCCATTCAAATCTTTTCGAGATGTAGGTAATTCTGTGTTCCTATCTTGTGGGCATAAATAAATCATGAAAATCCTGGCAGCACAAGAAGCAGAGACCTCACCTAGATGTTCCAGTGGTAGAAAGTCCCCCTGCAAAACAAAGGAACACTGATGGTGAATGAGCTGTGCGGATAATGCGCTCTATGTTAGAACGTTCTTCCCTAGAAATCAGTCTCACTCTAGATCTCCGCTATGACAAATCCAGCTCCATTCCCCATGTCATGCTATAGGTGAAGAAGGTGGGATTTTGAAAGACATTTACCCAGAATCCGACTTACTCTGAATCCTTTTTCAATCAGTAATGATCAGGTGAACAGCAATTCTAAGTAGCTGAGACTGAGGAGCACAAGTGGGACAAGTTAATATTTAACTCTGGGCCAAAGGCTTCCCCACATCCATTCCTTATCCTGACTGCAGCCCTATGGGGCAGAGGGAAGTACACTGAGGCCTGGAGAGGCCAAGAGGGGCTTAACATTGATTCAGAGTTCCTGCACAAGTATGAATCAATGGGACTACCACAACAAGCTCAACACTCTCTTTCTCTATGTGTGACCCCTGCAAATCTATTCCAGCAACATGAAACTGCCTGTCATTTGGGTACATAATGGTTTTTCCCCCTCTTTAACCTGGCTAATTCCAATCTATCTTTCCTCCTCCAGCGCTTTCCCTAATGTCAACAGGCTGGATTAAGTGACCTATCTCCATGCATATAGAACCATGTAATATTAAAATTATTATATTGTATTGTAATTGTTAATATTTCTATGTTTGACTCTAATTCTTTCCTTCATGAAAGGATGTGCTACTTGAGGCTGAAAATCTTGCCTTAATTTTTTTGGTATTCCCAGTGCCATGCCTAGCAGTTTTGAATCCTACTTTATCAGCCTTAAAAATATGGCAGTTTTCCATCACTGAAATATTGAAATCTTCCTGGTCTGCCCCAAGACAAGCCTCCTCCAAAGTTCCCATCCCTGTCTTTGGCCTTTTTAAAATCTGTGGCTGTATAGCTTTCTCACTCGGCTCACATGAGTAATTGTCAAAATAAACATACCAACCTTGACTCTTCTGAAACAAACATCAAATGATGCCTGTAAACCTTGCCCTCCTGAATTAAGCTAGAGGTATACAGTCATGAACTGGTCCTGTATCTCTCTCCTCAGAGCAATTGCATCCACAACAATCAACAACCAATATCTTCCCTTTGGGCAGTTAGCACAGTCCTAGGATGTGTCTGGGAATCAGTCTGTCTCCTCATTTATAAAAGGGAAGACTGCGACCTAGAGAGGTGGGTATTTATAATACAAGCTAATAGTCCCTGGAGACATGGGCCAGTCATACTAAGGAGTTTACCCAGATTGTCTCATAGCACTTAAAAGGTAGATACCATGGTTATAACCACTATAGATGAAGAAAGTGGGGTTTGGAGAGTTTAATTTACTTGCCCAATATCAAGTTGTTGGCACATTACATTACTGGAATTTCCACCCAATCAGTCTGGCTATAGAATCAATAAATTTATCACTCCTTTTGATAAATTGTAGGATTCACTCAGGCAAAGAGCAGAGCTCTCCAATTTTAGAAAAATTGGGAGATCTGAGCTCCTCCCTGAAAAATCTGGTCAATGATGAGAAAGGAAGGTTTGCTATGATGGGGTAGGAAAAATTTTGAGAAGAGAAGGGCAGAGACCCTCTGTTTTATAAATGGTCATAATTCCTTAGTGAGCTTGTTATTGAAAACAACACTCCCCCTAGATCTGGGGGACAGAACCACCTGAGCTTCTGTTCACGTGGATCACATAAAATGGTAGTTAGTATTCTTTCCTTCCGTGGTGCTGTGTTGACTGAGCAGTTCGTTTTTTGAACATTTTTCACCTTAACCTTGAGACTCTAATGTCTTCTTTGAGCATATGACAGATTAATAAATGATATCCCAGATAAATAATGAGAGAGAAAAAGGAAAAGTAATTTTGAAGGTGGGAGATGTGACCAGCTTTCTACAAGTCATCAAAGTATACTGGAGAGAGTATAAACTCAAGGGTTAGGTAGACTCCAGTTAATGTCTAATTCTGACTCTTAATAGCTATGTGAATCAGGAAAGTTTATTTAACTTCCCAAACCTCCATTTCTTCATCTCTTATACAAATATAACAATATTGGTTGAATTGAACTGAATTATACTTATTAAATAATTGAGAGAATTAGACACACTATAAAATTTCATACAATAGATTTTAAATGAATGACATTTTATGATGAATACTATTAGTGTTAGAATTCTTATCATCTTTATATATTTAAAAAACATAAATACATATACATAATTTTATATGTAATCTTATTTAAGAAAATATTAAGTATCTTTAGAATATCGGTTGGTGCCACTTTTCTTACAAAGAAGCTGAAAGATGGAGGCTCATCGATTGACCTGAAAATAAAGGTGAGAGGTAAGAGGACAAGGCTTTGCCAGGATGACTGGGAAAAATACATAAGGTTTCATCATATTGAGGTCCAAATGTTTTATTTATTTGTTTATTTGCTTGATTTTCAGTACAGTCCCTGAGAAAGGGAGGACAGGAACACTTGGCCTGATGCAAAAGAAGATGCCATGTTATGCCACATGGAGGGTCAGACAGAAGGTAAAGGATTAGCAGTTCCACAATCTAAAGTCTTGAAATTTTGCAACCTAAAGCACTGAATAAAAGATTCCTACATCCAAAGGGTTCGTGATCCATGAAAAAAATTCAGAGAGAGAGAAAAAAAGCAGCAATAGAAGAACAAGGATAAAGATGACAGCAGATTTCTTGTCGGAAAAAATGCCCATGAGAAGACAGTGGAGAAACATCCTAAAGGCACTGAAAGAACAAAAAAACTGTCAACCTAGAATTCTATGTCAGCAAAAATATGTTTTATAAATAAATGCAAAATAGAGATTTTACGGGCATAAAAATGCTAAAATAATTTATTGCTAGCAGACCTCTCCTGTACTACTAGTAATGTTAAAAGAAGTCCTTTGGGCAGAAGGAAAATGATACCAGATGGAAATACGGATATACAAAAAGGAATAATGAATATTGGAAGTGGCAACTACATGAGTAAATATATAACATTTTTTCTTATATATAAATCTCTTTAAAAGATAATTTATTATTCACATGAGTAATAATGTGTCTGGGAGGGGGAAAATGGAAGTACACTATGGTAAGATTCTTACACCCCATGTATAAGTAGCAATATTACTTGAAGATAGACAGTGATAAGTTAAAGATGTATATACTATAAACCCTAAAGCAACCAATAAAATAACAAAACAAATACAGATAATAAGCCAACAAAAGAAATAATATAGAATAATAAAAAATACTCAATTGATCCAAAAGTGGATAGAAAAAGAAAAACATAAAACAGATGGGACAAATCAAAAACAAATAGCAAAATAGACATATATCTAACCATATCAATAATTACATTACTATAAATGACCTAAACACCTCATTGAAAAAGTAGGCTATCACATTTGACTGAAAAAAACAAGAATTAACTGTATGCTATCTATAAACATATGTACTTTAAATATAGGGGCACAAATAGGTTAGAAGTAAAAGGATGGGAAAAGAAATACCATGCTAACACTAATTATATTAATACATTAATATCAGGCAAAGATTATTACAGATAAGCGATACTACCAGGGATAAAGAAGGTCATTTCATAAGGATAAAGTAGTTAATTAATCAAAACACATAACAATTCTAAACATTTATGTACTAATAATGAGCACCAAATTCTCAAAGCAAAACCTGATAGAATTGCAGGAAAAAATAGACAAATCCACAATTATAGCCAAAGATTTCAATCTTCCATCTCAATAACTGGTAGATCAAGTAGACAAAAATCAGTAAAGACATAGAAGAATTGAATAACACTATCAATCAAGTTCATCAGCAGACACGTATACTATACTGTTAAGTCCTTCAGCAGAACAAAAATAATACCAGGTAGAAATATGGATATAAAAAAGGAATGAAGAATACTGGATGTGGTAACCAAATGGGTATTACTTTGACACCAAGTCATAAAAAAACATGACAAGAAAAGAAAGCTACAAACCAATAGCTCTCGTAAACATAGACGTAAACATTCTTAACAAAATTTTAGCAAATCAAATCCAACAATCGTGATCCATTTGGATTGACCACAGAAATGCAAGACTGCTTCAACATTCAAAATTCACCTTATGAATAGACTAAAAAAAAAAAGTATGATTATCTCAACCAATGTAGAAAAAGCATTTGATAAACATTTATTTCTTTTTTTTCTTCTGGTTATGTTGTCCCCCATTTTTAATTCAACGAATTTATGGGGTACATGAGAAATTTTGTTACATGTATATAAGGTGTAGTGATCAAGTCAAGGTATTTAGGATGTCCATCATTGGAATACAAAATGTTTTTGTTAAGCATAGTCACCGTACTTTGCTATTAAACATTGGATTTATTCCTTCTATCTTACTGTATGTTTGTATACTCTAACCCACTTCTCTTCATTCTCCCCACACTTACACTTCCCAACTCTCTCTTATTTATCTTTCCACTTTCTACCTCTATTGGCAAACATTATTTCTATAAAAGTTCTCAGCAAATTAGGAATACTAGGGACTTCCTCCACAAGGTAAAGGCATCTACAAAAACCCACAACTAAAGTAATCCTTAATGGTGAGAGGCTGAATACTTTTCCCCTAAGATCAGGAACATGACAAGGATGTCTGCTCTTACCACGTCTACTCAACATTGTACAGGAGGTTCCAGCCAGTGCAATCAGGCAAGAAAAAGAAATAAAAGGAATTAAGAAAGGAATGTCTTTATTAGCTGAAAATATGACCATCTATGTAGGAAATCTGATGAAATCTACAAATCAGATACTAGAACTAGTGAGTTAAGCAAATTTTCAAGATATAAAATTAATATATAAAAATCAGTTGTATTTCTATATATTAGCAACGAACAATCAGACATGAAATTTTAAATATCACTCTCAGCATTCTTTATTAATTTTATTCAAATTTCACTATATTTAATTCGTATTCAAATATATCTCAGCATTTATCATTGCACCTATGGCGATTATTTTTTGTTACAAATGGAGGACTTTGTTTTTTGTTCTTTTTGTTTCTGGTAACTTTGGAATGGAAGTGGAACAGTAAATAATTAATTTTCTAATTTTTAGTTGGAAGCAAAACTCTGCTACCTACACATGAGGTAAGAAGTTCATTGAGAAGTGTATTCTATGTTTTTTGTTACTATTGCCTACAGAGTGACAGTGAGTAGTAGAACTGAGGGCTTAGTAGCCAGAAGAGAATAATTGATCTTTATCGGATGGACCACAGAACTCCAAATTATTATAGCAATGGCAAAAGTCACAACATGAAAGGGTAGGAGGACATAGACACCCACCTGATTTCCTTTGGGTCCTGCAGTGGCACAGCAGAGCGGCAGGAGCAGCAAGGCCAAGGATGCAGAGCAGTCCCCCGATGGCTCCTGCAGTGATAAGGCCTGCTCTGTTCCTGGAGGTCCCTGAGTGGGGAGATCCACACTTGAGTCCTGGTGGCAAAGATTTGTAATATAGACAAAAACGATGCAGGTGGTATTTTCTAGGTTCTGATTTCTCCATTTGAATTATCTTTAGTATAATCTGTAATTTTCCAAATAATGGCACATGAAGGGTGTTTGCCAGCATCTAAGATTAAAAGTTATTTCCTTTCCCTCTCCCTCATAGAATCAGTACCAATCTCCAGAAGCTTCAAGCCTTAATGTGCATGTTCAAACACTTCTTGACAGTGGTAGAATTTGTGCAATCTGCTGGAGAAATATTTTATTGACAATAACTGTGACCTGTAGCCCAGGTAACACTAACCCACCTGTAACACTGAGCATCACCACCTCACTGCGCTGGGCCCCTAGGCCATTGTCTGCCTCACAGAAGTAGTTTCCAGAATGTTCTGCAGTCAGAGAGAGGTTGAAGGACACTCCTCCTCCAGAGGGAGCTGAGCTGTTCCCCAGAGTGACATCCTCGTGGTAAAACCAGTACAGGATTGGGGGAGATCCTCTCAGGGCCTCACAGTGAAGCTCCACCACGTCCCCCACCACAGCCTGGGCCCTGGCACCCCTGAGGGTGAGGACAGGGCGAGACGCGGGAACTGAGGGAGGAAAAATAGTTCACTGGCAGTTTTGCTAAAGTGTGCGTACAAGAGAACTTAACAAAGGAATATGCAATATAGTTTAGCAGTAGGAACATAGACCTGGATTCAGGAAAACCTGGGCTTAAATCCTGTCTCTGACCTTTATTAGCTCTGTAATCTCGATTTTTAAAAACTTTTAAATTTCTCTCAGTCTTGGCCTATTCCTCTGTAAAATGGAGCTAATGATAAATTATATCTCAAGCTATTGTAATAAGAATCACGTACTGTGTGTAAAGTTCTCAATAAATATTGACCATTACTATTGATATAAATAATTAAAATCTAGGTTTATTTTTAAACATTCCTACTCCTGAATCTTAGCTCTAAGACCTAGACTTCAATATCCATCTAAAAGTAGGGCCTCGCGACTCTCTATGCAATCACCTTGCTTTATTTTTCTACATAGCATTTAGCACTACCTAACTAAATGCTATCTATTTATCTATCTATGTTTGTTGTATATCTGATTCTCCCAATAGAATGTGAGTTCCATATGAATGGACACTCATCTGTTTGTTCATTGCTATTCCAGCTACTGGAACTTTGCCTGGCTTGTGAAATTACTCAATAATTGGTGATTGAATGGATGACTGACTTGATCCAAGCTGGCACAAAAATATCCAGATAGAAGAACATTCATGACAATGATTGCCATTTTAACGGATAATTATAGAAATAGGACAGCCAGGAAGAATAGAAAACCATTACTGTGGAATATGAACTATAAGATTGCTGGTCTGCTAAGTTGTGAGGAAACCCAGATAAGCTAACCTGTGTGAAGTGCTTTAGATGTAAGCCATGTGCTTCACTTTCAAGGGAGGATTGATAAGGATCTTAGAAAGCTCTGCTTGGCATTAGAGATCAGCTGAAGGAAGTGAGTGCGAATATGGAAACTATTCATTGCATAGCAATAATTAAACTAGAAAATGAGCCATCTCCTGGCTGCAGGAGAGATGGTGCCTCCTGCCTCATCAGGTAGAGATGCCAATCCTGGTAGTGGAAGCGCAGAGTTCCTGCTAAACTGAAACTGATGGCTTGAGTTTGGCCCTTCAGTATATCCTCTGCAGTATAAAGTGAGCAGGGCAGGATGCGGATGGCTTCAGGGAGGTCTTTATATGGTGTGGTATGATCTCAGGGTGCCTTTCCACCCATCTCTGGGCTTCTGTGTTCTGGAAGCAGAGATTCCCAACTTCTTCCATCTCATGACTTGCTCTAGGGTTCATGGAACCTCTGGTTCCATATGCACATTTTTCTAAAATCGAAGAGTTCTAGGGCTGAAAAAAACACGGTTATTACCAAGTTTACTGGTCTCCAAGGTGGAGTGCAAGACCTCCTATTGGAGTGTGAGAAGAACATATGAGAATGACTAAGAGTATTTAATTTTGAGCTTGAAATTTAAAAAGATATTCAGCCTTACTAGTATTTACGGTGGTACTCTTGCTCAGGCATACATCACACACCTTGTGTTGGGACAGGACAGGAGTTCCTATGAAGCAGGGCCCCTACAGTGTGGGGTGGGGGACAGCAGTGCTTTCATCTATTTGTTCACTCTCAGCATATTGGAACATATTGCCCTTTTAATTGGCTACTTGAGTGTTTTTACAGATTATTTTAACTTAAATAATAAAATCTTCACAGTGCTTTGTGATGAGATTGGGGAATGACCACAGACCTTTTAGTATCACACGAAAGTTGTTCTATTATTTGGTGGCAAAGTTCTAAAAAGAGAAGTTAAATGTAAAGATGAGCTGTATGTTTTACCGTGAAGAAAGACTAGTATATGATTTGTGTTGATTTTTTTGGGGTGATCAGTGGCTATCAACAGTATAATACTTAGCAAACACTTCTAAAAAGTGACCTTTACCAGTATTTGTATTGTTAATGCTTATCTAAACTCATGCTATGGAGATGATATTTCAGGAAATAGTTGTATAAAAATATTTATATTTATATGTGGTTTTATTATCATTTATTAAAAAGTAAATATGTCAACTTTAAAAATTTATATCTGCACCCTTTAAAATCCATGGAAACAAAATGTTGCAACTGGTTTATGATTTTTCCAAAGTTTGAACACATTTGCTATAGATTCAAACATGCAGCACTTCCCACTCACTTTACAAGAGCAACTAATTGACATCAAAGAGAATGCAAACTTACTAGTCAAATTTCAATGAAAATCTGTGTAATTAGTGTATGGGATTAAAAAATGAGTATCATGCATTTGAAAGAGCAACAATGATGCTCTGTTTCCACTTGGATCTCGCTATATTTTTAAGCTATAACAGACACTGAAACCAATTGGAATAAGCAAAACTCAGAAACAAACGTCAAATAATTGTACCATCAAAAGGAAGCCAAGATTTTCAAAATAAATGAAGCGTATTCAATTATAATTTTAGTCAGATATTCTAAATCAAAGATTTTAAAATATTGTTATTTTCATTCTTATTTACTGTATATTTCTCTGTTTGCAATGTATATATTAAGGTAGTCCAGTAGTACAAGTATATAATTAATAAACACATATATGGGGTGCATGTTCAACATTTTGTAAGTGGTTTGGGATCAAGAGTTTTTGTATCTCCCTGATTTATTTGACTCAATTACTTTTTAAATAAGGAAACTGAGGACAAAACTAGTAAGGAGACTTGTTCAAGACTGGAATCTCAGTCTTAGCACACTGTCTGGCATTCCTAGGTTCTAATACCTCCTTGAATCATAACCCGTGTGTGGCCCATAGGAAGGATAATTATCAACCAAAATATCATAAGTGTTCTAATAGTTTGGAATCTTTGGAGAACAAGAGTCCATGGCAAAATCAGAGAATGTAAGAGTTTGAGTCACTGGGAGCCAGTCATTGCCATATCTCTTTTATTCTGCCACCTCCTCCTGTGTCCCAAGGCCATATCCTACCCTGCATATGCTAGGCACTTTGGAATGACCATGGCTTTTGGACTCAGGGTCTCTCCTAAATGGCAGGGCACATTGCTAATTGCCAACATGGGCTGGACGTGGGAAATGCAGATGCCTTGGTGCCCCGGTGAAGAAAAATTTTCTTAGGAGATACTGAGAATATCAGGTAAATGGGACCCCAGTCAGAAGGCATCTGAGAAAAGTGAGAAGGCTAAACACTCATTAGAATCTGGAGGCTGTGAAAGAGCCCTGCCGCTCTGATGGCTGGAGATATCCACCAGAGAGACACTTTGCTTAATGATCCAAGGAGTCAAGTGGGAATTAGATTGGATCGAGGTACGGGCAGAAAACAGTGGCTAGGAGTGATCTGGTCATTTGTTCCTGGGCAAAGGAATTCAGAAATAAGGATTTCTATACCATGTTCTTTTGTCAGTAATTGCTGAGCCATCATGTATCTGGTATTTTGGAAAGTCTTTGTGCCTCTACCAGAAAGAATGTGTGCAGTATATGGCTATTGACAACAATGACAGAGGAAGTAAAGGAACGGTCTAAGTTGACTGAATGTGTAGTCACGACAAGGAATCCCAGAACTCTAAGGTGAAGGCAGAGAAAGCAGGAAGTCTGCTGGGATATCACACCAGCAGATAGCCCAGTGGAGCTCTGTTTGTGAGATAGCATAGTCTTTGTTGGTATTAATTGCTGTGGGCATGTCCCGCTTACCTGTGACATTGAGACTCACTCTCTGACTGCGCTGGTGACCCAAGCCATTGTCAGCCTCACAGAAGTAGTTTCCAGAATGTTCTACAGTCAGAGAGAGGTTGAAGGACACTCCTCCTCCAGAGGGGGCTGAGCTGCTCCCCATACTGACGTCTTTGTGATAAAACAGGTATGAGATAGGGGGAGAGCCTCTCTGGGACTCACAGTGAAGCTCCACCACGTCCCCCTCCACAGCCTGGGCCCTGAGCATCCTGAGGGTAAGGACAGGACGAGACGCAGGAACTGAGGGAGACAAAAGAGCTGTCAGAGAAAGATTCCGATGCCGTGACAGATTCATAACCCCACGCAAGGAGCCTAGAAATAGACACACCCCTTGATCGCTTCTGTTTCCCACCGACCACACTTTCCTCATCTAATAATAAAGGCATTTCTTCAAAACCAAGAGAAAGAATCCTATGCAATCATGTTTTCATCACCACTCATTGTTAGGTTTGTTCCAGGTGGGAACCCGAAAAGTGTGTATAGGACGGAATGCGGTTAACAGATGTCGTAAATCTAACAGACGGCTGCAGCCAGCATTCCTTTTCCCTGATAGGGACGAAGTTTACCCCTCCCTCTCTCTCCTGATGAGGATGACGCTGGAGCTGAAGGATGGATGTGACTGGGGCAGGGGTCCTAGGAGCTGGTTGTTCGAAAAAAAATTTATTACAAGCAGCTGTTCTGGCCCACTTACTCCCCCCTGGAAAAACCCTCTATAAAACCCAAGGCTCTCCCCTTTTCTCTCGTGGATGCTTTCTTCACCTCCACCCATCTGCACCCAGATGCTCAAAATAAACGGCATTTTGCTACCCATGAGCCTTCATGTGTCTCTCTCTCAGCTCCGGACCTAACATTCAGTCCTCCCCACAAGGAGTAAGGCATCTTAATTTATCTTCCCATCTTGCCATTCCTTGAATAGCTTTTAAATCTTCACATCCCTGTTTTGTTTTTCGCTTTTTCCCTCCTTTAGAAGATCCTCATGGCTGTCAGAGAACCTAAACCTTGGCTTGTGAACCAAGGCTGAGCAGAAGGAAACTGGAACTTACTTTTCACGGTAACTGTACTCCATTTGCTGTGGACGGGGCCGTGACTGTTGTCAGCTGCACAGTAGTAGCGCCCTGCGACGCTCTCGTTCACAGAGCCGACCTGCAGCTTTGCCACCAGGGAACGCTGGGTCTTTCTACCCACACTTCTTCTTCCATCTTTGTGCCAGGAGAATGTGATAGTCCCTGTACCCTTAGCTACTGAGCAGATAAGGACCAGATTTTCTCCTTCGATCAGCTGCCCTCCAGAGGGCTGAATCTCTAGATTCACACCAGACACAGGGACCCCTGGGAGGACACAAGATGACATGTGAGGGTCCCAGCGGCAGGGACCTCGAGGTCAAAGAGAAGCCTGGAGTTGCCATGAATAGACCAATAGCAGCAGGTGCAATCGGCAGTGGTCCAAAGTAAGAAATAAGAAATTACTTGTGTATATTATTATAAAGGGAATGACATCCCTCCCCAATTCCATAATTTTCATCGTTGGGGAATATGGGGACCAGGTCCATGGTCTTGCTAAACCTAATGTTGTCTACAGCCACATTTTATGGAAATTTATCTCTAAGGAATTACTGATGCACCAATGAAGCACAGAATAAGAGAGAACACGGGAAATGTTCTATCCTGAAGTGACTTTACTCAGAATCCAAACCCTTCTCCCATCCTTTGAGACTTCTCCAGTCTTGTTTCCATGTCCCCACATTCTTCTCTGACTATTCCAGTTCACATTCATCTTCCTCTTTTCTGACTATTGTGATGTGAGTTTAGGTCAACAAACGGAAGCACCATAGGGACCCCTAAAGACTGCACGTGGTCATCTGTGCTTCTGGTTGTCTGCTGACTCATGAGAGAGCAGATTCTGTACATCTCTGTAAGCATCACAGTGTTGGGCACTCAGTAACTGATCAACAACTGCTGTTACCTGACTGAGGTGGAAGAGACCGTTCTAGGGCCTTTAGACCAATGTCGAGCCTGAAGAGGGAAGAATACCAAGAAAGCTGGATGTCCCTCCCTGTTATGTCCACCATCCCGGGGGCAGGAGATGTCATTGTTCTGCTCTCCTCTCCCCAGCTCTGGCTCTGGAAAAGCAACCACTAAGATACTCACTCTGCACATGTATCCAGGATCTCTGGCTCATTTTTATGACATTGTGAATCACTGTCTTTGCCTCACACCAGTAAGACCCTGAGTCTTCACTCCGCATTGCAGTGATTTGGAGCTCTGGGGAGCTGCTCCAGCCTGATCCCAGGACCTGGCTATCTCTGAAGAAGCAGAACTGGAGTTGGACCACTGACTTCTGCTGAGGGAACTGGGTCTCCCGGATCTCACAGGTCAGGGTCATGTGACTTCCCTCCATGGAGTTGGGAGGGGCTGGCTGTCAGCACAGGATATGGAAACAGCTCTAATGAAAAGAATAAACACAATCCCCAGGACAGTGAGGCTCAGAGCTCCTGGAGAGGTGCAGCTGTGTTCTTGGCACCAGCCATCAGGAAATAGAGAACCGTGTGTATGGAACCATCTCCCTCCCATGGCTGGGCCGTAAGAGTCTTTTCATGAAATCCGCACTGATGAGCATCTTCCCTCAATCCTCACAGCTTCTCTGCCAAATCCTACAACCCACAGGAATATATAGCCATTATCTTGAACTTTGATCCTTAGAGATTTTGAAATTTCTTTCCTTGTTGTTATAAAAAATTCCCTAGAAGCAGTGCAATGTTATTTGTCATTGTCCCTGGAGACTGAATTTAGCATGACGGATTCTGAGTTAAAACTACCACAAAGCTGTTCTCCATCCTTGTGGTAAATTTTTTCACTAGTGTACTCTTCGTTTCTTCCCCAACACCTCAGAACTACAATATCTCCTTCAAGGACAGGGCACGAAGCCTGCAGGATGAGCCAGTTGACAAAGAGCAGAGGAGCACACTCTGTTTATCGCCTGCTGCTTCTGTCTTCACTCTCATTTCTGCCCATGGGGCAAGAGCCACAGTCCCATATACACCTGCAAATGTCCTCCTACAACATTGCCAAAAGGCCCCAAACCTGATTCTTCCTTGCCCTGGGAGAATGAGCAAACTCCCAGAAAATGGCCTTGAGAAATTTCCACACATGCCTTTAAACAAAAGGGGAATATTGTCCTGTACCTTTCCCAGACCAGATCCTTTTTGCCTGGTGGCCTCTGGATTGCCCACACTTCTCCAGATGAAGGAGACAGACAGTGCACCATCGTGCTGCCGCCCTGTCTCCTTATTCTCCCGGCTGGGATCAGTACATCAAACATCCCCATGCCTGCTTACAATTCTGCCCGAGCTCCCTGCCTTAACCCAGTCCTTGGACACTCAGCCTAGTGGTGTGACGTTAGCGATTCCCCTTTCTTTTCCTCACGAGATGAAAATTCCACATGCACAGGGTCACTCAGGGAGCATCCTTGGGTCTTGCGTTAGTAATATCTAGATGTTTTTATTTGGATCTCTTCAGATTTTCTTTCCAATAAATCCTCATTATGATACCAAAATGCATCCCCTGGGCTGGGGAATGGGATTTCCTGTGTGTGAGAGTCATTCTCCTTCCTTTGAAGGTTATGGACCATGGAGATCCACAGAAAAGTATAGCTTTTGGAGGGGCCCTTGAATAGGAAATGGAAAGTGAAGGAAAGGGAAGGTAGGCACAGAACAGGGGGCCAAGGGGAGAAGCCTGCAGCTGGGAGTTTTCCTGGACTAATTCCCAGTGGGGACCAGGGTTGGAAGTGCAGCAGAAACAACCTGGGGGAAATGCCTGGGACAGAATCTGTTCTTCCTCATCCTTTGCCTAGGCTGGAGGGAAGGGGTGTCATAGGGAATAGGTCTCAGGTTCTTGGTATGGTGTCATAAAAGCTCAGGAGATGTGTTTTGAAGTTGGACAAACACCATGAAGGCTTCAGAAAGTGGGCTGATTCTGAAATGCTCCTGTCCCATCCATTCCTATCAGCGGTGAACCTGGGATGTATATACCTGAAAAGCAGTTTCTAGACTCTAGAAAATCACTTCCTACTTGTTAACATTTAATGAACAAGATTGTTTCACTTTTATTACTTTTAAACCATGCTTAGTTTGAGATTCTGTGAGGAAGGCAACTGTACTCTCCCTCTAAGTTGGACGCAATAATTAAGGGTTATAAAGAATTTGAATGAAGGAGGATGGGCTGCTTGAGAAATCAGACGCGTATGGAACTACAGCTGCGTGGTGGGTGTGGAAGTGGAGGTATGGCAGTGGCACGAGCTCCTTTTGGAGATGGATGAGGGTTTTGCTGGAGCACTCCCCTCGTGAAAGGGAGCTGTTTCTGTGTCCTTTGATAGCAGCACTGGTTTGGAGATGCAGAGGGACAGGCATTAGGGAATAGGGAGATCTCTCAACATCGGCCCCTTGCCTCTGCCCTTCCCTCTGCAAATGTTTCCTTCCTTTCTACACTGAGGCATCCTGGTAACGGGGGAAGAACTGGAGACTGGGGAGGTGAGAGGAGGGTCTGTTCACCCAACATAGTAACAGGTGTGACCCCAGATCAGTAGCACCACTGATGTTGGTGCCTCTCTCATGTACAGGGCTTGGGACAGGCTGTGCAGGCCAAGGGGACGAATGTCCAGACAGCAGGAGGAGCAGAGAGAAGGAGAAACTTATCAGATTGTTCTCTTCCAAGAACTGTGAGGGAGCCTAAATTGAAATATTAGCACAGGGAAATGTTTCTCAAATCTTTGCAACCAGACACTCTCTGAGAAATTTGCTAACAACCCAGCCATACCACTTCTTCTTCTTCCTTCCCATTTCTTTGCTCTCCTTCTGTATCACCCATAGCCCCTACAAAACAGCAACAACAACAACGACGACGAAGACGACAAGAACAAATGGCCTCTAATTTATGTTACAAACATGTAATGGCTGTGTCCACATCCCTGGCTCATCTTTTTGTTATTGCTTGCTTAGCAGCTTTCTACTTCACTCCCTCCCTCTCTTCTCTAGCCTCAACTCAGAGTGCAGAGGCAGGCAAGAACTTGGTGAAATGATTTATCCTCCCCTTACGTCTTGGGCTTTCTATTGTTCCTTCTACTTTTTTAACCTCTGGTTAAATTTTGGCTTAAAAAAACTCAGAGAAGGAGTCATGTTTCTTAGTAGACCTTGCCTTACTTGTCTAGGCTTTAGAAATAACTATTTATCTGAAAAATGATTTAGTTTGAGCCTATAAGAGGGAGGGAGGGATGTGGACTTGTGATTTGGCAGAAAGAAAAAGCCAAGTTTCTTACAAGATAAAGAAAGCAACGGGTGAGAAACCAAGGGCGACATACCTGGCTTGGTCTGACGGTTATATTTGGAGGCTTTTGATTGTTCTGAGAATCCAGCTCCGGTCACTTCCCATGTCTTTCTACCTGTCTCTGAAACCCAAGTGGAAGCAGAAATAGAAGCTCCTTGGCTTTTCCCGCGGGTGACTTTAGGAACTGAGGCCACTGTCCCAGCCCGGCCCATCTACTCACCCAAGATCAGCAGCAGCAGCCACAGAAGCATGGGGACCTGGCCTGGCCAAGGGCAGGACAAGTGTATCTCTCCAAAAGTCAGGCTTATCTCCCTCCAAAGAGGAGGCTGCTACTCGGCTGAGTCCTGTAAGAATTAGTAAAAGGGAAGAACTTAGTATCGTATCTTAATTTGGGTTCTGAAAATATGAACGTGGCTGCCTTCCTAAATGCTATTTGTATTTCAATCCCAGCAGTTGTGCAATTTTAGATGTTCAGGGTCATCTTCCAGCAGCTTGGGTCTCTTAGGAGAAATGCCTCCAATGCGGTACCTGGGTTCTCTGGAAATGTCAAGCTGTGGATTTGCTAGTACTCAAATAACTTTTTTTTTATTTTCAAATGGAAAACCCCTTTCTTATCTCAAATTCACACCACCTTTGGTTCCGCATGAAGTTCCAAATATAGGCCAGCTTGATGACTGTGATATCCTGCTGTTTAGTGCTGTGAGTTGTGCAAAGTCAAGATGTCAAAGCATATGCAAAAGCCTTTTTGACTTTCACATAAATTGGCAGGAGGCTTCTGAACAAGAACATTATAGAAATTTACAGATTAGCAAAAGGGGCTGCCCCTAAGTCCCACCCAGATCTGTGCAAATTAGGAGACAAATGAGCGAGTGTACAAATAGGAACCCTGATTTTTAAAGCCAGAGCCCTTTTCAGAAAGGACTTTCTTCACCTTGCAATCAAAGAGGTCCCACCTCATTATTTTCTTTCAGGGTCTGAGTGATTTTTTTCATTGCATTTATCACAATTTGTAATTATTTTCTTGCTTGTTTTTGTGTCTTCTTTCCTACTTACATTTAAGGACTTATGTTTGTCTTATCCACCATTGTAGCTCCTGCACCTCTAACAGTTCTTTCTTGAAAGTAGGCCTTTAATAAATATTTTTTGAAGGACTATTGAGCAGACTGTGAAAAATTATGGACAAGTGTTTCTCAACTTTTTTTTCATTATTGCTTTCCTGAGGAATCTTTTTAGACATTTTTTCAGCCACTCCCCTCTTCCAGGAAATTTTTTTTTTTTTGAGACAGAGTCTCACTCTGTTGCCTGGGCTAGAGTGCCGTGGCGTCATCCTCGCTCACAGCAACCTCAAACTCCTGGGCTCAAGCGATCCTCCTGCCTCAGCCTCCTGAGTAGCTGGGACTACAGGCATGCGCCACCATGCCTGGCTAATTTTTTCTATATATTTTTAGTTGTCCAATTAATTTCTTTCTATTTTTAGTAGAGACGGGGTCTCGCTCTTGCTCAGGCTGGTTTCGAACTCCTGAGCTCAAACAATCCACCCGCCTCGGCCTCCCAAAGAGCTAGGATTACAGGCGTGAGCCACCGCGCCCGGCCTCTTCCAGGAAATTTTAATACCACACACATACTGTTTATCTGTTTATGTGCTGTATGCATAGCTGTGTGTTATACATAAAAAGAGTAAGATTTTTCTACCTTCCCAAGAAGCAATTTTTGCCACTTTGAGGGTGATATCACTCCTTTTGTGAATGCGTGTTTTAGATTTAGAGGTAAACCATTCTCAGCAATCTAACTACCAGGATAAAGCTATGACCTTTCAAAGAGATCTTTAACTTAGAAATGGAAGGTGACTGCAGATCAAATGCTCCACACTCAGGAAGGCCAACTCTGAGCATGTAATGGAAAAAGGTACTCTTTTTTTAACCAAATAGCTTTCCATTCTTTCCCTCGTGGAGGTTACCCAATTTTGTCATTCTGCGTATTTATGTGATTGTGTAATATCTATTTCTCTCATTAGACTTTACTATCACGAGGACTGGAACTGAGTCTGGTTTGTTCTTCATTACATTTTCAATGCCTAGCAGAGCACTACCTCGTCACATATCAATTTGTCAATAAG